ATGGCTGTAAAGCTGTCTGCCCTGCCTGGTTGGCTAGACAGGATGTTGTCCTGTTGTCCAGAAGGATGCTGGTTACTCCCTGGGGTGACTGTGAAGCTGCTGGTTCCTGACTTTGTCAGGCTTAGTTTGCTCCTTTCTCTTTCCTTAATAACTGTCTACTCTGACGGGGGTGAGTGAGGGGAGAGTTCCAGTTTTGGATAGAGTAACCAGGAAGGCCTCACTGAGATAGTGACACTGAGGAAACACCTGGAAGAGGTGGGAGGGGGCGTGCATCATATGGACATCTGGGCAAGAGTGTCCAGGCGCAGAGGACAGCGTGTGCAAAGGCCCTGAGGCAGGAGCATGCCTGCACAGTCAAGGATCACTGAAGAGGACAGCCAGACCAGAGGGCAAGCAGTAGGAGGAGGGGAAGGAGCCAAGAGGAAATGGGAGTGGCCTTGCTTGAGGTCCCTGAAGGACTTTGACTTTGGCTTTGACTTTGTGTGAAATGGGGGCATTAGAGGACTTTGAGCAGAGGAGTGACGTGATCCATTTTACCTTTTAACAGGCCCGCTCTGGCTGCTGTGCTGAGAATAGGCCACAGGGCAGAAAGCAATTAGGGAGCTGTTGTCAACTGTGGCCTGAAAGATACATGCTTCAGGCCACCATTTTTCCTGATAGTCTGGCTTGATCTAAGGATAAAACATCAACTGTTTTTTTTTAACCCCTGTAGAACTTTGTTAACTCATTTGTGTTCATGAAACCCAATGCCATGGAAATGACCAGCACGGGTCATCAAATAAACAGTCTGCACTCGGTCTGTCCTGCTTCCCCCGGGCCCCTTTGCAGGGACATTTCTCTCGGGTTTCCGCCCCAAGAGCCAGCTTGTTTTTCTCTTTTATACATTATTCATCTTATTGTGTCTCCCTGCTTGCTTTTGTTGGCAAACTGCTCAGAGCTAGGCTACAGCTTCCCTCTGGCACAGGTACAGGACCGTGTGGCTGATGCATCCATTTTTCCCATCCTTGTTTTCACACACCTCAGTGAAAAGAAAAGCTTTCATTCTCTTATTTTTGTGAGTCACTTTAAAGAGTGGCAAGCTCCCAACAAACAACAGAGGAAGCAAACACATCGCTTAAAGTAAGAAGACAGAAACCCAGTTAGAAGTTTAGATCATTTGTATTCTGTTTTTGTTTTCATAATGAAAAAATATAAAGGGTGCCCCCCCAAAATGTATCACACTTTGAATAATTATTAATTCCAATGGGTTAAATCTGAAAAGAAAGAAACATCAATTGAGCTATCAGCTGCATATACATATTTTGGGACACCGTATGTACATGCACACACAGATTTTCAGAATGAAACCACCTGTGGCTAATACATTACTAAAGAATCCTTGTGTCTTTGACTGGTTTCACCATGACCAGTCTTTCTCTTCCCCAAATTTCTAAATTTATTATTCTGTGTCCCAGCAGCATGGGACCATGGTGCTGGGGTGAGGTCAGCCACCTAGGTTGGGCTAGATGCTCAGGACCACAGTAGAATTTGACAAAAATACACTTTCCAGCTCCTGCTACGCATTCTGGGTGAATAGGGCTTGCAAACTTCTTTGAAAATGCTTTCTCACAAGCTATATATTTTCTGAGACCCTGGCTATTTGAAAAAATCTTTTTTGTTGCCTTTACTGCTGAGCAACTACTTGGCTGGATGTACAAATCTGGGGCCTGACTCTCCTTGTCCTAAAATTCTGAGTGCTGCTTGATCGCCATTTAAAACTTACTGCTACATGATGCGATCTTAGATGCATTAATGGTAACCCTCTCCCCACCCTGACACTTTATTTTTAAATTTAATACTTGATGTTTACAGGGGGGGAAATCACATACTTCACAGCATTGGTTTCTAAGAGCTGGCCACCGCCCGTTTTACCTGTTAATCACGAGTCATTTTTTCATGTCTAGAAAGTTCATTCCTGTTACGTCCTGGCCGTACATGTGATCTCGCCTGTACTTCCCTTTGGAGGCATTTTACTCACAGGCTGCATCTCTGTGGTCTTCTCCCCATCTCTCTTTTCTTAAACTTCCTGTTTTTTCCCTCCCTTTTCCTTATTTTCCGTTTTCTGAGATGCCTGCTCGGTTTTGTCCGCTGCATCAGGTCCGTTTTCAGCAGTTAAACCTTCCATCAGCTTCGTTAGGACTCTGTTTTGGACTCTCGAGTCTTTTCATTTCATTAACATCCCCTCTCATCTGTACTGTCTCCTTTAAGAAAAGTAATATAAACAGCATTTAAAATAGAAGGGGAATGTTTTCTGAAAAAAACCTTTTGTTCATGAAGGTAAAATCCTATTCAAGATGAGAACTTTTCTTTGTGAGCCATTAACCCTTTTTCCCTCTTGTGCAGTGGGAACCCCTTTACCCCCTGGGCTTTAAATTATCTTTTCCTGGGTACCTTACGTCTGAACAAGGAGCACTCCTACTGGGCCCAGTGTAAAGCTGTTTAGGGGAAACTGTGGATCTGTCTGCTTTCCTTGATTCATCCTGGGTGTCTGGTGACTCACCACTGCTTCTTCCCACCACTGTGCCTTAGACGCCCCCTTACTGCCTCACACATGGGGGCAGAAAAAGCCTCGCCACTGTCAACAACTTAGCCGACTCGGCGCTCAGCAGCACACAGCATGTGGGGCACTGAATGAAATGCTTTAGAGGAATCTGCAAAAGAAAATCCCCTCGGGAGAGGGTGTGACATTGAATGTGTCTCAAAGCTGTGGCCATGAGTAAGCCCGTCTCTTGCATGACAGCCAAGCATTAAAACCCACGCGGGACTCAGAATGTTTCTGACTCACGAATTAGATCTCAGCAGAAATATATTTTGCCCTTAGATATTTTTTCTGTCTGTTAATCCTCACCTGAGGATATTTTTTTCATTGATTTTTAGAGAGACTAGAAGGGAAAGAGGGAGGGAGAGAGAGATTGATGTGAGAGAGACACATCGATTGGCTGCCTCCCACACAACCCCTGACCGGGCCCCGGGATCAAACCTGCAACCCAGGTAGGTGCCCTTGACCAGGAATCAAACCCATGACCCTTTGGTGCGAGGGCCGATGCTCCATCTACTGAGCCACGCTGCCAGCCCTGCCCTTGGCTATTAAAACACAAAAATAATGTGAATTTTCTTTCATCCTTGATTGTGTATCCTTCCGTCTCCCTCTCTCTCCTACCACTTAGAACCACTGGCTCTTTTTCTCCATCCAAGAGGGGGTGCTGATTTAGAAAGGAGAAACATTAGTTTTACACTTCGAAGAAATGGAATTATCAGTGTTGAATCCTGAAGTTACGGGGTGTGAGACCCTAGAAAACAGATAATGCCGTGGGCCGTATTCTTCACTGTATCGGGACTGAAGATGAAGATTTTAGAAAATCCATCAAAGACGTGTTATCCCGTTTGTTCCTAATCTGCTCTTAGCAGAAGGGTTACGAGGGTTACGCTGAGCTACTCCCAGTAATTTTCAGAGACGAAATCCTCTCGGGCAACAAGGAAACTTGGAAACTGCTTCAGATCAGAGGTGGACACGTGAGAGACCCCGCTAACCGGGCTCTCCCCCCCAAACCCTCCTTCACAGTGGCTCCAAACAGCCCCCCTTAATGAGAGCCCCTTAGCAGCTGAGAATAAACCAGCCAAGAATCAGGGTGAAGGACTGTGTCCAAGGTGCGCAGAGCCGAATCTTCTGCAAGAGCTTCAGCTCCTGTCGCCCCTGGCAGCTGTAAGTCACACGGTGCGGACGTGAACCCTGCGCACTGAAAATAACGTGCCTCTTTCATTTCTCTCTCCAGGTTTGAGATTTTTACGAGCTCTCAGACTGATCCAGTTTTCAGAAATCTTGCAGTTTCTGAATATCCTTAAAACAAGGTAAGACGCTCTTTCTCCTGTTCTTTCCTCACTCGGTCCCCAAGGCCAAGCTGTAGCTTTCAGGTGTGTTTCCCTTCATCACAAAAAGTTACCCAGAGTCCGGAGAAATCCCGGAGTAGGGTTCGGGTTGCTCTTTTCGGCAGGGCTGGGGACTCCAGGGTGAAGAGAGAGAAACAGCTGTGCTTGTGTCCCCAGTTTGGGGGACTGTGCGGGTGGCTTGGAAATCAGGAAATGAGCCCGGCGTCGCGGGGAGAGGTGCGCGGCGGATGAGGGATACATCTGCTCATTGATTCGGAAGTCCTTGCTCCCAGTGCTAAATCACCCCTTTATTACATCACTAAATAAGAAATTGAACCCGGCCGTAAAAGCAATAGAAGCAATGCTTTTTGAGAGGCAATCACAAACCTCATATGGCAAACAGAAAATCATTTCATTTCGAAGTACAGTTTAGATGTTCATTTTATAGCCAGTGCAGCCCCTGGGGCTGGCTCTGGGAATTGCCTCTTGGGGAAACCTGAAAACCTCCTGCTGAATGCGCCGTGGCTGCTCCTGTTGACGGTGTTATGATCTGGAAAACTCTACTGGACCAGGAGGAAAAGTCCCCTGGAGGTCCCTTTCCCAATGACCCGTGGGTTCCCGGAGCTGGCCTGAACCCAGGGCTGTCTTGATGAATAAACTAATAAAAGAAGTTAGACGCGCTCTAATGGAGAGTGAGGGCCATACATTTCCCTTATAGGAAATTACCCTCTAAGAAGCTCACTACTAATGTTCCATTTCCTCAGCGTGTTTGATAAATGATTAAAAACAGGGCCCCTCCGCTGTGTGATGTATAATTAACACACCTGCATTTGGGAGGGGGGCTTGGATTTAGCACCGTTTTCCCAGTAACTGAGGCTGGGACTCAGCTTCCCGAATCTGTCTCGTCCAACAAATGTGTCAGGCTATTGGCTTTCTTCTTTGGGTCTTAGTGGTTTTGTTTGTTTATTTTGGTTTAAGTCCAAATTGGTTTCCCCTCCCTACCCATTCATCTATGTGAGTGTGAGGTAAATTCACTTTCTATCAACCAAGTTAGAGAGAGAGGGGATGTCTAATGCTGGAGACGTCTTCTGTAGTCTGTCCCTCCACCCTCCACTTCATACCCTGGGGCAGGGCGAGGATTTATCAGCCTCTAGTTAATAGTATGTAACATTATCGAGTAAGAGTGAATATTGTTAATCTTCTTAATTCCTCTGAGCAGCAGTGACCTGGCTTTCCACCGTCCTATGGCTCTTCTGTACAGTGGACACTTATGACTCTTGAAATTAAAGTGATCAACAACTCAAGCAGTCCCCCATGTTTCCTATACTGTATTTGCTCCACTAGACTGTATTTTTAGGGCAGAATCAGTGCCGATCACAGGCCGTGTGCAGGAGACAGTTGTGTTTTCTGGTGGGGACGGTGGTATGTGGAGCCACCACGCTCTCTAACATGGCCTGGTGCCTGCCTCGTCTTGTTTTCTGATTAATTCATAGACTTGGGAGATTTTCACTCTCTGATGCCAGCATTTTAAGAAGGTGCCATTGCTGTCCTTGTACCCCATGTGGCTCCTTTTCTGGACTTGGGAGACTGATGAGCCCTCTGGATAAAGTATTTCCTTCTGGACTTTTGCCCAGAGGCTGCCCCCACCCCACTTCCCACTCGTTAGAACAGGCTCCTTTCCTTTGGCTGTAGGCAGTAGGTTAGCGTCTCTGGTGAACCGTCAGCCTGATAACTCGACACCTATGGGTGGTTCATTCTCCCGGCGCCGAGGGGAGAGAGTGAGACAGTCGGCTGGGGAGAGGGCTGGCTATAGATCTGGACAGAGTGGCCCCAGGGAGGGGTCATGGGGGGTCGGCCATCCTGAGCCCAAATCAGCATTTTCCAGAATCCCCTTCCTCACTTCCCACTGAATGAAATTCCTTCTGCTGTCAGAGGTGCTTGTCATCATAACCCCACAACTTGACTGTTCCAGTTCCTGGGCTTCTGTCACAGCCAGGTGACGGAGTCATTTCAGTAAGCCTGAATCCAGCACCCGTTTGTGCGTGTAGCAGGGTCGGGGGGAGGCTAGAGTCCCCCGTCAGAAAGCTCAGGGGGGAGGCCGCTGTGGTTGGTGCTGAGATACAGGAGCACCCAGAGGTGTGAAGCCCGCGGGATAGTAAGTAAGTTGGGCTTCGCACGACTGTGGGGCAGTCAAGGGTCCTTTCAAGGCAAAGGCATGTCTCAGCGAAGCCTTGCAGAAAGCCAGGTGCCACCCTGGCGGGGCTGGAGAATGGGCATGTGAGAAGTAGGGAGGGTGGGCTGACTGCCAGTCAAGGAAGCTGCAGAAAGTGAGAGAACACGGTCCTTGGGGGAGCTTGGAGGAATTCTGGGCTCCCAGAGACTGGGGCTTCTGTGGTGGAAATAAGAAAGCAGAGCTTAGGAGGCCAGGCCAAGGCCTGATCACCAGGCACAGACTGAAACTTCATTTAATCATAAGAACTCCTGGGACTTGAGGACAACCCTCTGGGCTTATTCTCTCTCCCAGTGCCCAACAAACCTGGCTCCTTGTTTCCGTGCGCCCGGAGCACAGATCTCCCAGAGAAGTGGAAGCCTTGGCTTTGTAGGGCTGTGGACTTTGATCCATTAATTGGTGACACCTCTCTACTCTGCTGCTTCATGGGGACCTTCCAGGAGGGGAGTAGAGGCCCATAATCATCTTTAGGGGCACTTTGTCTGCCTATTTCTTGTGGTAGATCCCAGCCAATCTGTGGCATTAGGTAGGGATGGGGACATCGCAAATGTGATTTGAAATAATGATTTGAAATTGCTGTTTCATTTTCTGTTCTTTGGGTGCCTTGCTTGGCCAAGAGCTAGAAGAAGCCGAGCAGAGAACTAATGTTGAGTGGGGCAGGAAAGAGAGAGAGAATGTTAAAAGGGTAGCAGAGTCTGGCCAGTGTGGTTCAGTGGTCGAGCATCGACCTGTGATCCAGGAGGTTGCGGTTTGATTCCCAGTCAGGGCACACGCCTGAGTTGTGGGCTCGATCCCCAGTCTGGCGTGCAGGAGGCAGCCGATCAGTGACTCTCTCTCATTATTGATGTTTCCATCTCTCTCCCCGTCCTCTCTCTGAAACCAATAAAGACATTTAAAAATAAATAAAAGGGTAGCAGAGGAAACCAGAGTGAACAGGATGACCCAGAAAACACACACACAACATAGATGAAAGAAACAGATCCCAGTTATGTGACAGCGTCAGGGCCATCCCCCAAATTACCAGCTTATAGAAGAACCTGAAATGCCTTGTGAACTGAAAAGGGCCTACTGAAGGGGACATGGGGCGTGTCCATGTCACCAGCCTGGCGAGCAGACTCAGGTGTGACGACACTCAGGCTGCAGTTTGAGCTCAGCCAGCAGCTCTGGTCGAGGCTGCCTCCGCACCTCAGTTAGTGCAGTAGATACTGATGATTAACACAGGGATCACACTGCAAATAATGATTTTCTCCAAAGGAAACCCAGGAGAAAATCAAGACAAATTGTTTGACTTAACAGACTTACCGAGGTTCAACGTCCCCAAATCAATTGTATCCTGTACGTCAACAACAAGCATGTATACAGTGTAATTGTAAAGGTTATATTTAAAATCAAAACAAAACTATGTAAGTATCATAAATAAATTTATCATTCGTGCTGCAGACTTTATGGAAAAAATTATACATTTAAAAAACCCAGACGTCTCATATCTATTATTTGTTGCTCGGTGATTAGTGACCCTAAAACTCAGTGACCCAGGATAACTATCACTTTTTAAAGACTTCTGCTGATTCTCTGGTCAGCTGGGCAGGTCCAGGCCGGCTTGACTGGTGTTTATCCTGTGGTCAGCCAAGGGCTGCGTGGTCAGAAAAACTCTTCTCTGACCTGGGCCTCGCCTTGCAAATGAAAGTCAGGATTTCAAGGCCTGCATCATATACTTGAAGTAAAAGAGTCTTTGTTCTGGGGGGCTATGTCCCCTCATTGGCACTCCCTGCCGCTCTTTCCACAGCCAAGGATGTGCTGCAAACGGCTGACTGAGGGCGAGGGAAAGAACAGATGGAAGAAGGCATGGGAAGACAGCGATGCTTTAATGCTTGAGAATATCCCATTGCAGTTGTAACATAGCACGAGTTATTTAATAGTCACACACTCACTAAAAAACTCCGCAACCCCTTAATACAGGTATCAACAGGTGAGCAAGGCTCAACCCAGGGCATCCAGGGAACCTCCCACAGGACAGTATGTAGATGGTGGGCTGGAAGGGGAACCTAGTCCCCCGCGTTGAGGAAGTGCCTAAGAATAGAGCGGGCGTGCACACACACACACAACATGGGTCGCCTAGCAATTATTTTTTAAATTTTTATTTATTGATTTTAGAGAGAGAAACATAGATTTATTGTTCCACTTATTTATGCATTCATTGGTTGATTCTTTTAAGCGCCCTGACGGGATTGAACCCACAACCTTGGTGCATCGGGACTATGCTCTAACCAACTGAGCTACCTGGCTAGGGCTCACCTAGCAATTTTTAAAAGAAGGAAAGCTGCCTGTTCCCTCTAAGTGATATAAGCTCATTGTAAATGTCTCAACAATATAGAGAAACATAAAGGATAAAGTAAAATTTCCCCAACGCCAGCAGTGGTTGAGGGAATAGTACTAACATCCTACCCTATCACTTTTATTTCCCACATAGCGTTCCATGATATGTGTGTACCATCATTTACCTAAAAATACATTTTGGGGGGGATATTTTGGGAACTGAAATCACTGTACTACATATATGACCTCAGAAATAGCTCCATGGTTAAGGTCTTAAAAAAAGAGTATTCGCTAGGGAGAGTCTAAGGGCCTGTGCAGGTAGCGACCAAATCGTGAATGTCATGGATTTCACAGAGCAGGAGAGAGTTGTTGGACAGTCTTAAGCAGAAGAATGTGATCAGATTTACATTTTAGGGAGATTCACCATCCCACCAGT